ATGGCATGAGATTATCTTTTTTGATTGCTGAGTAATATTCCATTGTGTATACATACCATATCTTCTTGATCCAGTCATCTGTTTTTGGGCACTTGGATTGTTTCTGTAGCTTACCTATTGTAAATTGTGCTGCTGTAAACATAGGGGTGCAGGTGCCCTTTTGAATTAATGTTTCTGTGTCATTTGGGTAAATACCTAGGAGTGATGTGAAAAATAAATAAAAAATAAATAAATGTTGCTGGGATAATTGGATATTCACATGTAAACCAATGAATCAGGTCCCCTATCTTACATCGCTCACCAACTTCAAATGGAACAATGACAAATATCAGGCATGAAACTCCCAGGAGAAAACAGAGGAATAAGGTTTCTGGATAAGGATATTGGTAATAGCTTTTTGAATATGACACCTGAATCACAAGCAAGAAAAATGAACATAATCAATTGGAACAAAACTAAAAGAATTCTACACAACAGGAAAACATATTAAAATGAAAAATACAACCTATAGATTGGAAAAAAAAATCATACTGTCCAAAACATTTAACAAAACCCAATTAAAATAAGGAAAAGAGGGCCTCCCTGGTGGCACAAGGGGTTAAGAACCGCACTATGAAGCAATCCGCAGCCTCAGCAGCACGATTTGGATCCCTGGCCGGCCAGGGAGAAACCCACATGGCGTGCAGACCTCTCCTGTCTCACCCACTGCTCCCCTCAGCAGTGTATTTCACTCAGTCTGCCTGTTCTGTTCACCACTCTGTCTCTGGTGGGTCCTCTCACCCCCGTATCTCTGGCCTGTACCCCAACTCTTGTATGCATAAATAAATCTTTTAAAAATAAATTAAAAAAATAAGGGCCTCCCTGGTGGTGCAGCAGTTGAGCGCTGGGTTGCAAAGTTGCCCGCAGCCTCTCCCGCATGGCGCGCAGACCTCTCCTGCCGCCCACTGCTCCCCTCAGCAGTGTACTTTGGTCCTTCTGCCTGCTCTGCTCCCCGCTCTGGCTCTGGTGAATTCTCTCACCCTCCCGCGCTTCTGACTATACCCAGTGTTTGTATAAATAAATAAATCTTAAAAAAAAAATCAAAAAAAAAAATTACTTAAAAAAATAAAATGAAAAGACCTGAATAGACATTTCCCCAAAAATGAGATATGAAAAGTCTACAGGTACATGAGAAGATATCATTATTCATTAGGAAAATGCCAATTAAAACCACAGTAAGATAAGTTTGGCCATCATCACAAGGACAATAGATAACAAATGCTGGAGTGGATATAGAGAAAAGGAAACCCTCTGTACTGACTGGGGGACTGTTAATTGGAATAACAACTATAGAAAACAGTGCAGAGGGACCTCAAAAAATTAAAAGTAGAACTACCATATTCCCCAATTCCAGTTCTCAGAAGAAATTCAAAAGAAACAAAAACACCAGGGCCTCCCCTGGTGGCGCAGCAGTTGAATGCTGGGTTGTGAGGCTGCCCGCAGCCTCTGCAGTGCCAGTTTGATCCCCCGCCACCAGCGAGGGTCCCACACACACACACACAAAAAAAAAACAAACAAACAAACAAACAAAAAAACCCACCAATTTGAAGAAAATAACTACATCCCTATGTTCATAACAGCACTATTTATAATAACCAAGTCACAGAAACAACCTAAGTATCCATTTATGAATGACTGGATAAACTCCAAGAGTATCTATTAATCAAAAATTGATTATCATTCTGCTATTAAACATGAGGTAACATGAGGAAATCCTACCATATACAATAATGAAGACATTATGCCAAGAGAAATAAAACAGTGAAAGACAAATACAATACGATCCTACTAATATAGAAAATCTAAAAAAACAAACAAAAAGCATATAGAAAGAGATTCGACTTGTGGTTAACAGAGGTGGGGAGTCATGAGAAATTGGAAGAAGGTAGTCAAATGGTACAAACTTTAGTAGTAAGTACTATGGACGTAAACAGAACATGATGTTATAACAAATAATGCTACAATACTTGGAAAATTTATTTAAAAAGTAAGTCATATGAAGCACTATTACAAAAAAGAATTTTTCCCTTTATTTCTTCCTTGATTTTAAGATTTATTTTTATCTATTTATGCATACAAAAATGGGGTGTTGGTCAGAGGTGTGGGGGGTGAGAGGATTCACCAGAGACGGAGTCAGGAGCAGAACAGGCAGATCTACTGAAGTACACTGCTGAGGGGAGCAAGACAGGAGAGGTCTGCTGCCCTATATGTGGGTTGGGTCCCTGGCCAGGGACCGAACTCAGGCTATAGTGGTGATTAGCTCTGAGACTTAACCTCTGCACCACTAGGAAGGCATGTTTATTTTTATTGAAGGTATATGAGAAGATGGAGGTTAGCTGAACCTATTCTGGTAGTCAATTTACAACATATGTAAATCAAACCATCATGCTGTATACCTAACAGTATACAGTGGTGTGTGTCAATTACTTAATGAAATTTGAAAAAAAAAAAAAAAAACACATTTAATTGAAATGAGGGAAAATACTCATTTAAAGAGAATGGGTCTGGACAGGAGGAGAGATTAGGGTGAGGCTGATCTTTAAAGAGCAAGTTGTTGGGCCTCCCCTGGTGGCGCAGCGGTTGAGTGCTGGGCTGTGAAGCTGCCCTCAGTGCCGGTTCCATCTCTGGCCGCCAGCGAGGGTCCCACATGATGCGACACCTCTCCTGCTGCGCCCACTGCTCCCCTCAGCAGTGTATTTAGTCCATCTGCCTCTTCTGTTCCCCGCTCTGGTGAATTCTCTCACCCTCCAGCGCTTCTGATTGTACCCAGTGCTTGTATAAATAAACAAATAAATCTTTAAAAAAAAAAAGAGCAAGTTGTGAAAATTCAGGAAAACTCCTCTAACATAACTGACTTCAAAGGACAAGGTAGTCATCAAAATTTGAGAATACTGTTCTTTAAACATGCTCTAGGGTAGAAAGAATAAATTACTATTCAATCTACCTGCAGCAAGATACAATGAAACACTGCATTGTCTAAGTTACTATGGGTCTGACACAAAACAGGAGTTTAAAGTATTATTAGTCTTGTTTACTAAATGTCATGAGATAAAGTATATTTGAAATCTCAGTATGAGAATTTTAAAAAAGATATGGTCAAAGATAGCTTTAAAATGAACCACCACTAGTTGAACTTATTTTGTAGAGCAAAAATCCTAAGCACTTTACATATTATTGCATTTATTCTTCACAGCATACCTGTAGCATTGGCATTATTTTCTTCAATCAAGTTTAATTAAGGTTCAAAGAACTTTAGTGTATTGCCAAATGGTCAATGAGAATATTTGAGGAACGGGTCACATACCAGAATATAAGCCCACAAGTCTAGGAGTCCACTGTTTGCTCCTAGAAAAATGGCTGGCACAAATAAACTAGCCAAGAGTTTACTGAACAAATAAACCTATTTATTACCACACAACTGAATATGATTAAGAAAAACAACATGCACTCATACCAAGTGGTATCATTTTAGATTCAAGGCAGTAAACATCAAAAGTAGGCTCCTAACCTTGACACTGTGGTCCAAGTACTTTCAGTCCAGAGTGTGTGTAGTGTTTAAAAACATGAGTCCTGGGCCTCCCTGGTGGCACAGCGGTTAAGTGCTGGGCTGCGAAGCTGCCCGCAGCCTCTGTAGCGCCGGTTCCATCCCCGGCCACTGGATGAAGGTCCCACATGGCGCGACAGACCTCTCCTGCCATGCCTGCTGTTCCCCTCAGCAGTGTACCTTGGTCCTTCTGCCTGTTCTGCTCCCCGCTCTGGTGAATTCTCTCACCCTCCTGCTGTTCTGACTGTACCCAGTACTTGTATAAATAGATAAATAAATAAATAAATAAATAAATAAATAAATAAATAAATCTTAAAAAAAAAAACAAAAAAATAAACAAAAACATGAGTCCGGATGAGATCACCTCAAATTAAGTGTAAGGAAAGGATACCTTGCCAGGGAGATAGGCAAAAACCAATCCTTAGAAATAGGGCCTGGTAAGGGAAGGCAAACATAAGAGAACGCATGTGGTATCTCAGAAGCAAAGAAAAAGAAATATTTCAAAAAAAGTGAAGACTCAAAAAACTCAGAAACAGAGTTTAAGAGTGAGATGTGTCCGCAAAATAGTGGGGCGTGCTCCCAGGAATAGCATCTGTAAGCAATTGGGAAACACAGGGCAGTGAGGAAGGCCTGAGCAACCTCACCTGGCACTCAGAGGCGGGGACAGCCTGTAGGTAACACTCTCCCCCATCCTGAAGCAAGAGCCCCGCATCCACCTGCATTGGATGCAGCTGCTCTCCAGGGCACACCGGATTCTCATCCTCATTCAAACGCCTCTCAGAACCAGATTCACCCAACTGTGGGGATGACACCAACTTCCCTTCCTAGTCACCATGCCAATAGCTTCAAGTCCCAGTATAAACTGGCCAGGGAGGGTGGGGCGGGCTGAGAGAAAAGGGACTTTACACCAAAAGAGCTGCAAGACTTAGCACCAACCTAGCTCTTGCACAGACGCTGGGCCACTCGCTGCTCCAGGGGTTTCTTCCCCAGTAGGCGCGTGTGTGTGGTCAGGACCACTGATGCCGGCTCCCCCACCCGCCCTTGCCTTGAAAGCTTATGCCACCGGAGGGCACCTCCTTGTAGTGGTCACAAAAGGAGTTTCTCACTGAGGAGCCCTCCGACCGAGAGGATTTGATCTTCTGGGCTCAATACCATTCTCTCCCGCACGATGTGGGTCCTAACCTTGGTGAGTTTAAAACCACAAAAACAATCCTTGCACTATCCCGACACATCAGATCCTTCGCCCTGTCTTCCAGGGGCCCTGGCGGCTCCTCTTCCCACCCACTCATTCCCAGGTCACACCCTTGAGCTTCCAACCCGACAGCTCCCACTGCGCCTCCCCCAGAGCCCCTGGAGCAGCAGAAGCAGAGGCGGCGGCAGGTGAGCGCCCACACCAGGACCCGGGCTGTTTGCTCACCGTCTTGAGGCTGGCGTCCTCCTGTCCAGCGCTGCAGCTCCTAGTCCGCAGGTCACGCAGCTCAGAGCAGAGCGAAGCGAAGCCAAGTTGGAACCGTCCAGAACAGGCCGGAATCCACGACTGTCTTCCACCACCTCCAGCCTTGATGAAGTGGGCAGGAGACGCTGGCGCCCTTCACCCGGGCTAAACACACACCTGGCCCAGGAGCTGCGGAAGAAGGGCCCAGGGTCGGGCAGCCATAGGTCTGGGGTGGCCGCAGGTGTGGGGTGGCCGCAGGTGTTGGGCGGCCGCAGGTGTGGGGTGGCCTGGCCGCAGTGAGCAGGGCCAGCCGGCATGCGGGCATCTGCGTGTGAGAGCCCAGAGAGCCCGGCCGACCTTGAGGATGACGATAAAATGGCCGTGGCCGGCGTCTGCCCGCCCTAAATAGACCGAGGCCAGGAGCAAATCTGGGAAAGGCAGTTCAGCTGTGCCACAGAGGCCCCGTGCATACACTCATCCCCTCTGCAACTTGGATTTCAAGTGCAGGTTTCTCTGCAAGTGTAACACTGTTATTTGGTATAATTTGGACATTAGTTCTTGGATCTAGGGCTCCTCAGACATATTTCCATGTAAATTAGTGGTATTAGCATTCCGGAACACAAAACTCATGTACTAAATTATACCAAAGAGGAACACTCGACTTTCAGACAGTGAAAAATCTGTATTACATTCTCTGGGTAGCTGCTCCTATCTTTCCTTCTAGTTTCGTCCATTACTCTGTTCCAAAAGTTCTTTGATCCCATTCAACTGGGTACAAAAATTTGTAGGTCCCTTTAAGGTCTCCGGTAGGCAGTTTCCTTTAAACCCCGAAGTTTTATAAAATGAATTTAAAAATCAGTTCTAACTTCACTCTATTGTAGCTCTGCTAAGCAGTGGGAATGGAATTGCTCATTGTCACACCCCTAACAATCCTTGAATACGCTTTGCTAAAGGTTCAACCACCTTCTGAAAGATGACTTATGAGCCACCTAGTATAGCAAAGTGGATTCTCCCAGTTTTTCTTAAATGTATATTAAAGAGCTGTTTGCCCCCTCTATCATTGTACATGTGGGTAGCCTTTAATTTTAAAGTATCTTGCTTCATTTTTAGTTGAGTAATCCTTCAGGAAAAATGATACCTATGTTTTTCAAAAGAGATTTTGTACTTACCTTACAAATTTTCATTAAAATATTCTCTTGGAGTTATTCTATTCCCCAACCCTGGAATTAAAATTATTTTTTAAAATTACAAAAAACATGCAATTGAAGAAAACGATACAATAGACATTAAGAAATAATGTTTAATGCCTCTATCCTCTGAAATCACTGATACCAATTTCTTACATCTTTTTTTTTCCAATTCATTATTATTGAAATACCATTACCTTATATCCCTGCTAGTGTTTTAATAGTATAGGATTTCTCCCTTTGGGTGTAGTCACTGTAGCTCTCCCACTACCAAAGCACTCATGATCCTCCACTATAGTCCATTGTGCTCCCTCCCTTGCGTAGGTACATGTATGTATCTGTCACCTTAAAAATAGTAATGGGGGGCCTCCCCGGTGGCGCAGCGGTAGAGCGCTGGGTTGCGAAGCTGCCCGCGGCCTCTGCAGCGCCGGTTCGATCCCCGGCTGCTCCCCGGCCACCGGAGGAGGGTCCCACATGGCGCGCAGACCCCTCCTGCCGCCCGCTGCTCCCCTCAGCAGTGTACTTCGGTCCTTCTGCCTGCTCTGCTCCCCGCTCTGGCTCTGGTGAATTCTCTCACCCTCCCGCACTTCTGACTGTACCCAGTGCATGTATAAACAAAACAAACAAACAAGCAAACAAACAAATAAAGAAAAACATGCCTCTATAAAAAAAAAAAAAAATAGTAATGGGGTTTTTACATTATGATTTTTTTCCTCACTTTTTCTTCATTATTTCAAAATTAGAGCAACATAACTCTTTTTCTTTATCACTTCAAAATTAGGGCAACATAACTATTTTTTATGTGGACAGTGAGTACTTATTCATATGGATATGTTGTAATGCATTTATTCAGCCTTCTACTGATTGGCTTTGACATTATCTCAGTCTATTGCTATTATACACAGTAAAGCAATGTGTATCCTTCTACCTATATTTTGAACATAGGGACCATTAAAGCTGCAAGATAACCTTAGAAGAAGAATTTTTGGTTCAAATGCAAGTACATTTTACATTTTTATAGATAATGCCAAAATATCTTTTAATGAGATTTTACTAATTTACATTCAATCACTGTGCTCATTCTTGAGGACACAATAACATCAATCGTTTTGCAGCTCCTAAAAAGCAACAAATGAATTGATTAAGAGAATGTACTCTGGATATAAAGCCTATATTTGAATTCTGTCTCTACTACTCTGTGGCCTTAGAAAAAGTTCTTAATTTTTCTGTATGTTAGATTTTTTTCCCACTGGTAAAGTGAAATTACTAATAGTTCGTACTCTACAGATTGCACTAAGTTTAAATTTTTAATATATAAAGCATAGTAAAATAATGTACAATATCTGGAGAATACTTAATACAATTATGTTATTATTAATCCAATTTACAGAAGTGACAGACAAGATCGATACATATAAATACTCTCATCTATCATCATTTTGAAGAGGAGGCATTTCTGATTTCAAAGCCAGCAGTATGGATGTTGCTATGTCAGAGAAAGCTTTTTAAAACAGGTAATACTTGGTCTGGTTGAGATATAAAGGGTGAATCAGAGTTAACCAGATAAAGAAGTTCAAGAAAAATGAGGAGGAAGAAATTAAAGGATAAGGCTGATGTTAGGGGAGCAATTGCCACTATGGGGAACTAACTAAAGTGAAAAAAGCAGATGAAAGTCAACTCAGATGAGCCTGGAGAGAGAGGCAGAGTAAGATCAACTATTTCAAGACAATGGGAATTCATCGAAAGTTTTTTTTTTTTAATATTTATTTATTTATGCATACAAGAGTACAAGAGCTGGGACACAGGCCAGAGATGCGGGGGTGGAGGGGTAAGAGGATTCACCAGAGACAGAGGGACAGAACACGCAGATTGACCAAAGTACACTGCTGAGGGGAGCAGTGGGCGAATCAGGAGAAGTCTGCTGCGCCATGTGGGTTGCTCCCCGGCTGGCTGGGGATCGAACTCGTGCTGCAGAGGCTGTGTATTGCTTCATAGTGTAGTGCTTAACCCCTTGCACCACCAGGGAGGCCCCCATCAAAAGTTTTTTTGAGAGTATGTCTCCATGTGAATACATGTTCTTCAAGCAAGTTATTCTTTATGCATACGAAGAACAAATTAGAGCGTGGCCAGTGTGGATGGATACAGACTGGTTGGAAGGGATTTGTGGTAATATAAGTGAGAGAAAAGGGTAGTTTGGACTCAGTTGGTGATGATAGTGATGTAGAGAAATAAATGGAGTTTGGAGATGAAACTACAGGTTTGGATTTGGGTATTATATGGGGTTAAGAAATGAGAAGAGGGGCCTCCCTGGTGGCGCAGGCGGTTGAGCGCCGCACTGTGAAACTGTCCGCAGCCTGTGCAGTGCAGGTTCGCTCCCAGCCAGCCAGTGAGAATCCCACATGGCTTGGCAGACCTCTCCTGTCTTGCCCACTGCTCCCCTCAGCAGTGTGTTTCGTCAGTCTGCCTGTTCTGTTCCCCGCTCTGTCTCTGGTGAATCCTCTCACCCTCCCACACATCTGGCCTGTACCCTGATTCTTGTATAAAAATAAATAAATCTTTAAAAAAAAAAGAAATGAGAAGAAATGTCAAATATTGTATTTTTAAAAAACTGGTCTAGAATGTGACACATTAAGGCATTCAATAGCTTTCTATTTTCCTTTCCCCTTCATCTTTTTTATATGATACACGTGGACCCAACCCAAATTTTGGATCTATTTACTTGTTTTATTTTTTTCAATTAATCTTTTATACTTCAATATTATTTTAATGTATGCAGGACTGTTTATAGTTAAGATAGTTTCTAATTATGCAATAAACATAGGGGTACAGGTGTTCTTTTGAATCAATGTGTGAGGTGATGGTGCACGGGTGCATTGGTGAAGGAAATTCTAAGGAGGCTATACTTGAGGGGGTAGAAGGGAGATAGTATTGTTTAAAAATGAACAATGATGTAAGAAATAAAAATATCTATATAAAAAGAAAAGAAATGACATTAGAGAAATTAGAAAAAAGATAGTTTCTAATTATGTATTACTGAGGCAAGAGTCTCCTACTTTCTGTCATATGAGAAATCCTATCTTCTGAAATTATGTAACAAATCAATAACAAATACTAAGTTATTTATTATATCCTGGTAGCATATGAAATACAACAGTTATATTTTAAAAGCATTTGCTAAAGGGAAATAAAGCAATAAGTAGAAAAAATAATGACAAAACAGTAACTACAATAAAGCATGTAGTTACAGGTGATGCAATCAACCTTCTTGAACATTCTATGCATACTTCCCATTGCTCCTGGGTTCCCTATGATAAATATTAATATTATTTTATTACTACACTTCAGTGTACTTCAGTCAATCTGCCTGTTCTGTTCCCTACTGTGTCTCTGATGAATCCTCTCACACACACACCGCCCCCCGCCCCCACATCTCTGGCCTGTGCCCCAGCTCTTGTATGCATAAATAAATAAATCTTTAAAAAATGATAAATATTATATTTCCCCATTGTGTAGGCTAGAAAACTGTGTCATGATGAGGTTACGGAAGTGCAGAAAGTTTTGCTACTCATAAGCATTGGGATTTGAACTCAGGTCTTTCACATTCCAGAACTTGCATTCCTGTGATGTATTTGAAAATTTCACACCAAAACCCACTCTATTCAGTTCTAATTCCATCATTTATTAGTTCTGTGATCTTGTGCTATTACCCCCATAAAAATTCACACACACATGTAGACGAGAAAATCACTAAAAGGCACTGTCTTTCATATGACATTTTCTTATAAATGTCATGTGATAATGGTGGCTATAAGTAAAACAAAATTTTAATTACATAATAATTATTGTGATTGTCATTCAAGTTTGTTTATTCATTTGCCAACAAAACTATTTTAGTTTTTTTCTATCCCAATGTTTTATGTTAATTTATATTCCCTTTAGGATCAGGTGGTATTGAGAAATGAGTAATTCCTAAAAATTATACAGATTGTGAAACTAAGTTTACAAATTTTAAGTCCACAACATTCAACATTGCAATAAGCATCATATAGCAATTCTGAGTTTCCTGAAGAATTAAATGTTTGCAGATGTGTTTAATCTTTGGTACATGTTTTGCTCATGTTCAACAAAAGAATTTGGATGCTAAGAGAAAGGTGATTTAGAATACATTTGCATGCAGAACTAGTCCGATTATTATGAGGGTCAAGTCATTCAAAATCCACTTTTGACAGAACCTAGATTGCTAAAGTAGTCTTCTTCAAGATGAGTATGGTTTGAGACCTTAAATATTCATCATTAATAAAAATTCCATGACATTTTTCAAAAGAACATTTGCCCAGGTCATTTGACCAGATGCCAAGTTAAATCATTAAGGCATGGCCAACTGCCATTTCATTTTTTTCTTTTTTTTTTACCCTTAATATCATAGATTTTTGTAATTTAAAGGAACCTAAGTAATCATTTTCCTTGAGCACAGAATTTACAAGTGAATATCAGAATCTCAGAAATTGTCTTTTTCAAAACGTAAAACTTTTGAGATCTTTGAAAAATCTCCCCTTGAATTGGGGGTATGATTGATAGGGAAGTGTGTTTCTGAGGTCCAATTATCAAATTGTGAATAAAATTTTACATTTAGAAATTTTCCAATGATTAACCAGAACCTGCTTTTTGTTATTTATTGTTCTGTTGGTGGTTGTTAGCGTTGCTTTTTAATGATAACAAATCACAGTCCAATGAATAGAGTAACTCTCTTCATAATTTTATATTGCATCGCAATTTCACAGAAACAAGTGCAGTATAGTTTTTGTTTAACTTATCCACACATTTTAATAACCTTTCTCACTTCTCATTAATCAGAGGTAGGGTGAATCCTTTCCAATCTGTCTCAGGTTGTAATAAGGACAGATTTTGCTTCACAGCCTACATAGAGCACATAGTTGCTTTGTTATCACAGCAATTTCTCATGTTACCATATCAGATTTGATCATTTGTCTAAGAAAACTAGCGATACTGTGCTTGAATGCTGTCTTTATATC